TGTGGAACTGGATAGCTTTTTGACGCTTTTATATGAGAGTCACTTGGTACTATGCCCTTTTGTGTCACCTTATATTCCAAAAACTCGTCTTAAAAATATGCATTTCTTCATATTTATCTCTAAATTGTGTTCACTGATACGGGCTAACAACTTCTTCAAGATCTATATGTGTTCCTCTACTCTTTGTTGCCACCATTATATCGTCCATATGAACTGCGTTGCTCTTATTTCTAATGAGGTCACTAAGCAGATTGGAAATAAATCTCTGAAATATGGCTGATCCATTTTTAAGCCCGAAAGGCATTCTTAAATACTCGTACTGTGCATGAGGGGTTACGAACGCAGTGTACGGGATTGATTTTTCCTCAACTCCAATCTGATGGTAACTACTTTTAAAATCTATTGATGGCTCTGGCGACCTTTCCATATTTCAATATTTATTTGTTGGCTGGCTCGAGGTCCGTGTTTGTTAAAACAAACAATGAAAACAATTTTATTTTAATTTTCTTCCGATATATTTCGGTTGCACATCGGCAAACCGTCTTCAGGGCACTAACACCAAGGTACAAAAAACAATTAACAATTATAATACAATAAATTAAACATTATTTCGAACATTTTACATACATTATTTTACACGTCTGCGCTTTTTGACGTGGAGATTGTTACTGAGGTTGTTTGGCTGTTTAAGAGGTGTCTGTACAAGTGAGCGCAATTTTCTGTGTCTGTCTTGTAGTTTAGTCGTTTGTTGGTTGGTGTGTTAATTATGTGTAGCATTTCCAATGTGTGTCGCTTGTTATAGTGTTGTTCTTGTTGTAAGATTGTTGTTTCATCAAAATTTGGTGTGTGGTTGCTTCTTATACAATGGGTCATAAGTGCTGTTTTCTGTATATTATTTTGATGTCTTAGTTTGAAGTCCGATTTATGTTGACTAATCCTTGTTTTTAGCTTCGATTTTGTTGTACCTATGTAGACACTATTGCACTTGTTGTTGTTTTCCCCGCCACATGGTATTTGGTAAACGACGTTGCTTTTTTCGATCATCGGGATTTTCGACTTTATCTTGTTGAAGAATTTTTGTAATGTATTCGTCGGTTTGTGTGCTACTTTTATATCTTGTTTGTTATAACAGTCTGAGTTTGTGAGGCGTTCTGATAGTCGTGGTACATATATTAGTGATTTGTATATTTTAGCAGGTTCTGTTGGCTTTTTTCTTTCGATTTGTCGTCTTTTTAATAATGTTTTGATTATATTTGGGGGGAAGTCATTTTTGGTCAAGAGTTTTTTGATTTCATGTTCAATTTCTTTGTGGTATATTGTGTCCGATATTTTCATCATTCTATTCATACAGCCTAGTGCTGTATTGATTATCATACTCTTTGGGTGGTTTGAATTGAAGTTGAGTATTCGTCCGGAGGCTATGGGTTTCCTATACCACTTTATTTTGAGTGTGTTGTCCATTCTGCTTACAATAGAGTCTAAAAATGGTAATTTCCCGTCCTTTTCTAATTCCATTGTAAATTTTATCTGTTTGTGGAAGGAATTCAATTCTTTTAGAATATTTTCCACGTCTATTTTGTTCGTTATGGCAAAAAGGTCATCTACATACAGTATGTCAAGAAATTGTTTTCACACTAGAAAAAAAAATTATTTTTCGACTTTCTTAGCAAAAATAAATACTTTCAAATATTGCAAATATTTTTTTTTTAATTTATTATAGTTGCTTATAGTATTTACTAAAAGAATTCATAAAAATAGTAATAGAAAGTAGAATGATATGTGAGAAATAATTCAAAAACCAAAAATAGTCGGCTTTGCCGCTGTCAAACAATTGTTTACACAAAAATGTTCTGCATTCCTCTGTGCGCTTATGCAGTGAATAGCGGTAAATTTACAGTAACTTTGGCCTTGCACATGCTCTGTTCTACGAATTTGGCTTGTTATGAACTGAAAATTTTCGTTTGTTGCGCGTCAGAAATTATTTAGACACTCTTAAAAATGCCAGGCAAGAGATTATCGTTTGAGGTGGTCCAGTTAGTGTATTTTAATCACCAATTGGGTAAAAGTGCGCTGGAGTTATCAGAAATGTTTTCTGTAACCCGTAAGACCATTTATAATATTATAAATCGCGCTGAAAACGAGGGAAGATTGGAGCCAAAGAAAGGAGCCGGTCGGAAGCAAAAAATAAATAAACGAGCGGAGCGCGCATTGGTGAAAAAACTGGACCAAAATCCGATGATTTCGACGAGAACTCTTGCAAGAGATCTTAAGGAAGAGTTGGATCTAGATGTATCCCACGAAACTGTACGTCAGGTCATACTACGACACGAGTACAAATCAAGAGCTGCTCGCAAGAAACCAATGCTCTCTGATGTAAATGTTGGAAAACGCTTGTCCTTTGCCACAATGTACCACAACCAACCTGCCGAATATTGGGATGACGTCATCTTCTGCGATGAGACGAAAATGATGCTATATTATAATGATGGGCCAACAAGGGTGTGGCGTAAGCCCTTAACATCTTTAGAAAACCGAAACATCATTCCGACAGTCAAATTTGGCAAACTGTCCATAATGATTTGGGGGTGCATCTCAAGCCAAGGAGTCGGAGATTTGGCTTTTATTGAAAACACGATGGACGCACAACAATATTTAAGCATTTTGAAGAACCAGTTGACAAGCAGCGCGAATAAATTTGGGTTTATAAACAATAATATGCCGAATTTTAAATTTTATTAGGATAACGACCCAAAGCATAAGGCGCATATGATACGCTTGTGGCTACTTTATAACTGTGGTAAAGTCTTCGATACACCTGCACAAAGTCCTGATCTTAATCCCATAGAAAATGTCTGGGCTTTGTTAAAGAAAAGAGTGGCTAAAAGGCATCCAAAGAACCGAACTGCACTTAAAACTGCTATACTAGAAGAGTGGCAGCAGTTGCCGAGCCATTATGATTTTAAAAAGCTTATTCATTCAATGAAAAAGCGCCTAAACGAAGTCATTAATACCAATGGTGGCCATACAAAATATTAAATATAAGAAAAATATGTAATTTCAGTGCCTTAAATTAATTTAATTATTACTTATGCCAAATGTGTAAACAATTGTTTGACAGCGGCAAAGCCGACTATTTTTGGTTTTTGAATTATTTCTCACATATCATTCTACTTTCTATTACTATTTTTATGAATTCTTTTAGTAAATACTATAAGCAACTATAATAAATTTAAAAAAAAATATTTGCAATATTTGAAAGTATTTATTTTTGCAAAGAAAGTCGAAAAATCGTTTTTTTTTCTAATGTGAAAACAATTTCTTGACATACTGTATTTGGTCAAGAGTCTTGGTTTTATTTTTAATTTATCTGTAATCTTGTCCAACAGTTCCTCCATTAATATATCTGCGATTACTGGGGAAGCCGGTGATCCCATTGGCATTCCCTTAAGTTGTGTGTATATTTTGTCTTCGTATTTGAAATATCTGTTTTCCTGTATGCAAAATCTAACTATGTCCATAAATAGTTGTTTCGGTATATTCGTGTGCTCTTCTAATTTGGTCCATTTTTGTCTTATTGTATCAAGTGCTAATTCTATTGGTATGCTGGGAAATAAGGATACTACGTCAAAAGATACTAATGTTTCCTCTTCTCTAATCTGGGAGTTGTTGACTCTGTCTTTAAAATCTACCGCGTTCTTGATGTTGTACCTAGAGTCCATTGTCAGATTTTTTAATATTTGTATTATATATTTGCACAGCCCGTAAGATGGAGATCCGATGGAAGAACATATTGGTCTCAGTGGTGTTCCTTCCTTGTGTATTTTTGGTAGTCCATATATCCTCGGAGGTACCGCTGTTGTTGTAGTCATCTTATTTCTTTCGTCCTTTGAGATAAGACCCATCTTGAATAATTGTGCTACGAAGGTGTTATTCTTTGTCTGTAGTCTTGATGTCGGATCCAGTCTCAGTGTTCTATACGCGCATAAGTCGTCTAAAATATTTGTCATTTTATTTTTATATTCATCCTCATCCATTGCTACGGTTTTGTTGCCCTTATCCGACGATAGAATTTTCATATTTATATTTTCTTTCAGTAATTTTCGTGTCTGTTCCACTGTCTCCAGTATTGCTCGATCCCTACTGTTTTGGTTGTTCTTGGTTTTATGCTCTTTGACTAACAAAGAGAATTTTGTGCGCGCCGACTCTTGTGTTTCCTTTTCTTTTATTGTTTGCACTAGCTCCTCACCGTCTGCGATGTATTTCAAGAGAGGAAAATCTCTCTTGCTGATTGGGAGAGCGAACTTCGGCCCTTTTGCGAGTAACGCTACGACGTTTGGCGGGAATTCTATTTTTGTTTTGTTTACAAACCACTCTCTTTGAGTGTTGTTATCCGCTAAGGCTAGGTTCCGTTGATCTCGTAACTTATCGTGTTTCGTTTCTTGTCTTTTCTTGAGTGTTGTTGTTATTTTGTTTTCTATATTTCTCTCGCTCTCAAAAAACGCTTTTGCGTCATCTGTGGTCATCAGTTGTTCTATGTTTGTTTTTGCTTTTTCCATATGTTTTGTTTGTTCTTGTAATAGGTTGTGTTTGTGTTTTATAAGTAAGTTTAATATTTTGGTATGGTAAAAATGTGTGTGTCTAGTCAATGTTCTTGTTATGTCAGGGTGGGTTTTATTGTCAGTGGTCAGTATGGTCAAATGCTGTGTCAAGTTTTTGATGAAGTTAGGTATTAAATTTGATTTTCTACATTTTAACAAAAATTTTAAACTAGATTTAAGTTTAGTTAATTTTACCAGTGTTAGTTGGAATTTATTAATTGTTCTTTTCGAATCCTTGTATTTAGTTTTTATTTTTGCGTAGCTCATGTTGGTTGCTGTGCATACGGCGTGCCTTCCGTTGATATTTATTGATGGCTCTGGCGACCTTTCCATATTTCAATATTTATTTGTTGGCTGGCTCGAGGTCCGTGTTTGTTAAAACAAACAATGAAAACAATTTTATTTTAATTTTCTTCCGATATATTTCGGTTGCACATCGGCAAACCGTCTTCAGGGCACTAACACCAAGGTACAAAAAACAATTAACAATTATAATACAATAAATTAAACATTATTTCGAACATTTTACATACATTATTTTACACGTCTGCGCTTTTTGACGTGGAGATTGTTACTGAGGTTGTTTGGCTGTTTAAGAGGTGTCTGTACAAGTGAGCGCAATTTTCTGTGTCTGTCTTGTAGTTTAGTCGTTTGTTGGTTGGTGTGTTAATTATGTGTAGCATTTCCAATGTGTGTCGCTTGTTATAGTGTTGTTCTTGTTGTAAGATTGTTGTTTCATCAAAATTTGGTGTGTGGTTGCTTCTTATACAATGGGTCATAAGTGCTGTTTTCTGTATATTATTTTGATGTCTTAGTTTGAAGTCCGATTTATGTTGACTAATCCTTGTTTTTAGCTTCGATTTTGTTGTACCTATGTAGACACTATTGCACTTGTTGTTGTTTTCCTCGCCACATGGTATTTGGTAAACGACGTTGCTTTTTTCGATCATCGGGATTTTCGACTTTATCTTGTTGAAGAATTTTTGTAATGTATTCGTCGGTTTGTGTGCTACTTTTATATCTTGTTTGTTATAACAGTCTGAGTTTGTGAGGCGTTCTGATAGTCGTGGTACATATATTAGTGGGGTAGTAGGCTGTATGAATAGAATGATGAAAATATCGGACACAATATACCACAAAGAAATTGAACATGAAATCAAAAAACTCTTGACCAAAAATGACTTCCCCCCAAATATAATCAAAACATTATTAAAAAGACGACAAATCGAAAGAAAAAAGCCAACAGAACCTGCTAAAATATACAAATCACTAATATATGTACCACGACTATCAGAACGCCTCACAAACTCAGACTGTTATAACAAACAAGATATAAAAGTAGCACACAAACCGACGAATACATTACAAAAATTCTTCAACAAGATAAAGTCGAAAATCCCGATGATCGAAAAAAGCAACGTCGTTTACCAAATACCATGTGGCGGGGAAAACAACAACAAGTGCAATAGTGTCTACATAGGTACAACAAAATCGAAGCTAAAAACAAGGATTAGTCAACATAAATCGGACTTCAAACTAAGACATCAAAATAATATACAGAAAACAGCACTTATGACCCATTGTATAAGAAGCAACCACACACCAAATTTTGATGAAACAACAATCTTACAACAAGAACAACACTATAACAAGCGACACACATTGGAAATGCTACACATAATTAACACACCAACCAACAAACGACTAAACTACAAGACAGACACAGAAAATTGCGCTCACTTGTACAGACACCTCTTAAACAGCCAAACAACCTCAGTAACAATCTCCACGTCAAAAAGCGCAGACGTGTAAAATAATGTATGTAAAATGTTCGAAATAATGTTTAATTTATTGTATTATAATTGTTAATTGTTTTTTGTACCTTGGTGTTAGTGCCCTGAAGACGGTTTGCCGATGTGCAACCGAAATATATCGGAAGAAAATTAAAATAAAATTGTTTTCATTGTTTGTTTTAACAAACACGGACCTCGAGCCAGCCAACAAATAAATATTGAAATATGGAAAGGTCGCCAGAGCCATCAATAAATATCAACGGAAGGCACGCCGTATGCACAGCAACCAACATGAGCTACGCAAAAATAAAAACTAAATACAAGGATTCGAAAAGAACAATTAATAAATTCCAACTAACACTGGTAAAATTAACTAAACTTAAATCTAGTTTAAAATTTTTGTTAAAATGTAGAAAATCAAATTTAATACCTAACTTCATCAAAAACTTGACACAGCATTTGACCATACTGACCACTGACAATAAAACCCACCCTGACATAACAAGAACATTGACTAGACACACACATTTTTACCATACCAAAATATTAAACTTACTTATAAAACACAAACACAACCTATTACAAGAACAAACAAAACATATGGAAAAAGCAAAAACAAACATAGAACAACTGATGACCACAGATGACGCAAAAGCGTTTTTTGAGAGCGAGAGAAATATAGAAAACAAAATAACAACAACACTCAAGAAAAGACAAGAAACGAAACACGATAAGTTACGAGATCAACGGAACCTAGCCTTAGCGGATAACAACACTCAAAGAGAGTGGTTTGTAAACAAAACAAAAATAGAATTCCCGCCAAACGTCGTAGCGTTACTCGCAAAAGGGCCGAAGTTCGCTCTCCCAATCAGCAAGAGAGATTTTCCTCTCTTGAAATACATCGCAGACGGTGAGGAGCTAGTGCAAGCAATAAAAGAAAAGGAAACACAAGAGTCGGCGCGCACAAAATTCTCTTTGTTAGTCAAAGAGCATAAAACCAAGAACAACCAAAACAGTAGGGATCGAGCAATACTGGAGACAGTGGAACAGACACGAAAATTACTGAAAGAAAATATAAATATTAAAATTCTATCGTCGGATAAGGGCAACAAAACCGTAGCAATGGATGAGGATGAATATAAAAATAAAATGACAAATATTTTAGACGACTTATGCGCGTATAGAACACTGAGACTGGATCCGACATCAAGACTACAGACAAAGAATAACACCTTCGTAGCACAATTATTCAAGATGGGTCTTATCTCAAAGGACGAAAGAAATAAGATGACTACAACAACAGCGGTACCTCCGAGGATATATGGACTACCAAAAATACACAAGGAAGGAACACCACTGAGACCAATATGTTCTTCCATCGGATCTCCATCTTACGGGCTGTGCAAATATATAATACAAATATTAAAAAATCTGACAATGGACTCTAGGTACAACATCAAGAACGCGGTAGATTTTAAAGACAGAGTCAACAACTCCCAGATTAGAGAAGAGGAAACATTAGTATCTTTTGACGTAGTATCCTTATTTCCCAGCATACCAATAGAATTAGCACTTGATACAATAAGACAAAAATGGACCAAATTAGAAGAGCACACGAATATACCGAAACAACTATTTATGGACATAGTTAGATTTTGCATACAGGAAAACAGATATTTCAAATACGAAGACAAAATATACACACAACTTAAGGGAATGCCAATGGGATCACCGGCTTCCCCAGTAATCGCAGATATATTAATGGAGGAACTGTTGGACAAGATTACAGATAAATTAAAAATAAAACCAAGACTCTTGACCAAATATGTAGATGACCTTTTTGCCATAACGAACAAAATAGACGTGGAAAATATTCTAAAAGAATTGAATTCCTTCCACAAACAGATAAAATTTACAATGGAATTAGAAAAGGACGGGAAATTACCATTTTTAGACTCTATTGTAAGCAGAATGGACAACACACTCAAAATAAAGTGGTATAGGAAACCCATAGCCTCCGGACGAATACTCAACTTCAATTCAAACCACCCAAAGAGTATGATAATCAATACAGCACTAGGCTGTATGAATAGAATGATGAAAATATCGGACACAATATACCACAAAGAAATTGAACATGAAATCAAAAAACTCTTGACCAAAAATGACTTCCCCCCAAATATAATCAAAACATTATTAAAAAGACGACAAATCGAAAGAAAAAAGCCAACAGAACCTGCTAAAATATACAAATCACTAATATATGTACCACGACTATCAGAACGCCTCACAAACTCAGACTGTTATAACAAACAAGATATAAAAGTAGCACACAAACCGACGAATACATTACAAAAATTCTTCAACAAGATAAAGTCGAAAATCCCGATGATCGAAAAAAGCAACGTCGTTTACCAAATACCATGTGGCGGGGAAAACAACAACAAGTGCAATAGTGTCTACATAGGTACAACAAAATCGAAGCTAAAAACAAGGATTAGTCAACATAAATCGGACTTCAAACTAAGACATCAAAATAATATACAGAAAACAGCACTTATGACCCATTGTATAAGAAGCAACCACACACCAAATTTTGATGAAACAACAATCTTACAACAAGAACAACACTATAACAAGCGACACACATTGGAAATGCTACACATAATTAACACACCAACCAACAAACGACTAAACTACAAGACAGACACAGAAAATTGCGCTCACTTGTACAGACACCTCTTAAACAGCCAAACAACCTCAGTAACAATCTCCACGTCAAAAAGCGCAGACGTGTAAAATAATGTATGTAAAATGTTCGAAATAATGTTTAATTTATTGTATTATAATTGTTAATTGTTTTTTGTACCTTGGTGTTAGTGCCCTGAAGACGGTTTGCCGATGTGCAACCGAAATATATCGGAAGAAAATTAAAATAAAATTGTTTTCATTGTTTGTTTTAACAAACACGGACCTCGAGCCAGCCAACAAATAAATATTGAAATATGGAAAGGTCGCCAGAGCCATCAATAAATATCAACGGAAGGCACGCCGTATGCACAGCAACCAACATGAGCTACGCAAAAATAAAAACTAAATACAAGGATTCGAAAAGAACAATTAATAAATTCCAACTAACACTGGTAAAATTAACTAAACTTAAATCTAGTTTAAAATTTTTGTTAAAATGTAGAAAATCAAATTTAATACCTAACTTCATCAAAAACTTGACACAGCATTTGACCATACTGACCACTGACAATAAAACCCACCCTGACATAACAAGAACATTGACTAGACACACACATTTTTACCATACCAAAATATTAAACTTACTTATAAAACACAAACACAACCTATTACAAGAACAAACAAAACATATGGAAAAAGCAAAAACAAACATAGAACAACTGATGACCACAGATGACGCAAAAGCGTTTTTTGAGAGCGAGAGAAATATAGAAAACAAAATAACAACAACACTCAAGAAAAGACAAGAAACGAAACACGATAAGTTACGAGATCAACGGAACCTAGCCTTAGCGGATAACAACACTCAAAGAGAGTGGTTTGTAAACAAAACAAAAATAGAATTCCCGCCAAACGTCGTAGCGTTACTCGCAAAAGGGCCGAAGTTCGCTCTCCCAATCAGCAAGAGAGATTTTCCTCTCTTGAAATACATCGCAGACGGTGAGGAGCTAGTGCAAACAATAAAAGAAAAGGAAACACAAGAGTCGGCGCGCACAAAATTCTCTTTGTTAGTCAAAGAGCATAAAACCAAGAACAACCAAAACAGTAGGGATCGAGCAATACTGGAGACAGTGGAACAGACACGAAAATTACTGAAAGAAAATATAAATATTAAAATTCTATCGTCGGATAAGGGCAACAAAACCGTAGCAATGGATGAGGATGAATATAAAAATAAAATGACAAATATTTTAGACGACTTATGCGCGTATAGAACACTGAGACTGGATCCGACATCAAGACTACAGACAAAGAATAACACCTTCGTAGCACAATTATTCAAGATGGGTCTTATCTCAAAGGACGAAAGAAATAAGATGACTACAACAACAGCGGTACCTCCGAGGATATATGGACTACCAAAAATACACAAGGAAGGAACACCACTGAGACCAATATGTTCTTCCATCGGATCTCCATCTTACGGGCTGTGCAAATATATAATACAAATATTAAAAAATCTGACAATGGACTCTAGGTACAACATCAAGAACGCGGTAGATTTTAAAGACAGAGTCAACAACTCCCAGATTAGAGAAGAGGAAACATTAGTATCTTTTGACGTAGTATCCTTATTTCCCAGCATACCAATAGAATTAGCACTTGATACAATAAGACAAAAATGGACCAAATTAGAAGAGCACACGAATATACCGAAACAACTATTTATGGACATAGTTAGATTTTGCATACAGGAAAACAGATATTTCAAATACGAAGACAAAATATACACACAACTTAAGGGAATGCCAATGGGATCACCGGCTTCCCCAGTAATCGCAGATATATTAATGGAGGAACTGTTGGACAAGATTACAGATAAATTAAAAATAAAACCAAGACTCTTGACCAAATATGTAGATGACCTTTTTGCCATAACGAACAAAATAGACGTGGAAAATATTCTAAAAGAATTGAATTCCTTCCACAAACAGATAAAATTTACAATGGAATTAGAAAAGGACGGGAAATTACCATTTTTAGACTCTATTGTAAGCAGAATGGACAACACACTCAAAATAAAGTGGTATAGGAAACCCATAGCCTCCGGACGAATACTCAACTTCAATTCAAAACACTCAAAGAGTATGATAATCAATACAGCACTAGGCTGTATGAATAGAATGATGAAAATATCGGACACAATATACCACAAAGAAATTGAACATGAAATCAAAAAACTCTTGACCAAAAATGACTTCCCCCCAAATATAATCAAAACATTATTAAAAAGACGACAAATCGAAAGAAAAAAGCCAACAGAACCTGCTAAAATATACAAATCACTAATATATGTACCACGACTATCAGAACGCCTCACAAACTCAGACTGTTATAACAAACAAGATATAAAAGTAGCACACAAACCGACGAATACATTACAAAAATTCTTCAACAAGATAAAGTCGAAAATCCCGATGATCGAAAAAAGCAACGTCGTTTACCAAATACCATGTGGCGGGGAAAACAACAACAAGTGCAATAGTGTCTACATAGGTACAACAAAATCGAAGCTAAAAACAAGGATTAGTCAACATAAATCGGACTTCAAACTAAGACATCAAAATAATATACAGAAAACAGCACTTATGACCCATTGTATAAGAAGCAACCACACACCAAATTTTGATGAAACAACAATCTTACAACAAGAACAACACTATAACAAGCGACACACATTGGAAATGCTACACATAATTAACACACCAACCAACAAACGACTAAACTACAAGACAGACACAGAAAATTGCGCTCACTTGTACAGACACCTCTTAAACAGCCAAACAACCTCAGTAACAATCTCCACGTCAAAAAGCGCAGACGTGTAAAATAATGTATGTAAAATGTTCGAAATAATGTTTAATTTATTGTATTATAATTGTTAATTGTTTTTTGTACCTTGGTGTTAGTGCCCTGAAGACGGTTTGCCGATGTGCAACCGAAATATATCGGAAGAAAATTAAAATAAAATTGTTTTCATTGTTTGTTTTAACAAACACGGACCTCGAGCCAGCCAACAAATAAATACTTTTAAAATCTATAACGGAAAAACAGCATTTGTTCTCTAAATATTCCAGACAGTCCTTAATTAGCGGCAACGGAAAATTGTCCTTGATAATTCGCTTGTTAAAACCGCGATAATCAACACACATTCGGAGATCTCCTGACTTCTTTTTCACCAGAACCAAAGAAGCATACGGAGATTCACTAGGTCGAATGACCTTTTTATTTAAAAGGTCCTTTATAATTTCTGCTACTTTGTCTAACTCATAATAAGACAGGCGCCGTGGATTGCAGTAGATTGGTGTTGTGTCCGTTACTCTAATAGTCATGTTGTATTTAGGCGGCACTGTAAAGTCATATTCCCGATACAGATAATGAGTTCTTATTAGTTCCTTGTCTGCCCAAGATTTGCCAAACTCTTCACCCACGTTAATGGGATCATTCGCTTTGATTTCAATACTGGCACAAAAAATACTAAAATCATCATGCTCTTTAAAGTATTCAAGACTACTCTTAACTTGGCTGCCTACCTCTTCATTTAGAAGTTGATTGTTTAAGTTGCTACTTATTTATTGATTACATAATGTAGGATTGCTTGCAACGTAATGCGATAAATGATTGAATTGCTTATCACTAATAACTTGTTGGTGAACAAAGATGCACAAGTCGAATAAGCGGTTTTATTCTTTATTGAATTAAGAGGTAAATGATATTCAGCATTAATACTTTTCTTATTAACCAATTTTACTTCAATGATTTCTAAGGCATCTCTTCCTAATATTACTGGTAGAGGTTATATCTTATCGTCTAAAATATTAAGTGAAATAATGTAGGTTTTCGTATGAAAGTTAATTCGGCATTTCAACTTTCCCCATGTTGGGATAGGCCGTCCTCATAATTCATGGTATTGACTGACTTCAGATTTTAGCTTTATATTTTTTGGTATTAATGCCTTATGAATAAAGCTTACGGGATTCCCCGTATCGAATAAACAAAAAACACTTGTGCCTCTTTCTTCACCAAATGGAGCTCATAATTGTATTGATAGAACAGCTGCTAACTCGTAATTATTCATCTCACTGCGCATACTGATGAACCATACTCCAGCACTTAAAGCACGCCCCATCCGGCCTCTTTGGCTGGCTGCACTCTTTCATCATATGACCAACGCCACGGCAATTATAGCATAGTATCTCACTGGTTTTTTGCTGTTGACTTGCTGCATTACTTCCCGTTGCTCGACCTCTTGGCGTTTCGCTGCTACGACTAGGCACATTAGCTGATGCTTTTCGCACTTTATCGTATACAATCATCTTGTCACGCAGCTCATTCAAGGAACGGCAATATAACATGGCTGCTGCTGCTCCAGTCCTATCCTGCAGGCCGTCCACAATAAATTTGATGACGTCGCTTGTGGCCATGTCTGCTTGCTCTGCTTTGCTGCACATTGCAACATAGTACTGCAATGCGCTTTCGCCTCTTCCGATCTTACGCGCCTCCAACTATACTATACCCCATATAGTCACTTTTTGCTCGAAAGCTTCCAGCAGCTTGCAACGCACGTCCTTCCAGGTCAATGGAGCTACATGGTCTATGTACGCCTTAGCGGATCCAGTTAGCAATTTTTTCGCTAATATCCACCGCTTAACATCTGGTATGTCGTACAGGGTCATTACGTCTTCGAAGTCGCGCGCCCATTGCACGATCGAGTAGCCATCATCGCCAGAAAAGCTGCGCACTAAAGTATCAATATGACTGACATCAAGGCGTTCCTTTGGCGCAAGCTGCAAATCAGCCACCGCTTTTTCAATTTTCGATATAGCTAACTGTAACTCGGCTATACGTATATCATAAGCGATATCGATACTTCAGGAATATTGCACTAAGTTGCTTATTATCTTATCCTATAATATGGTTACATTGATATATTTAAATTTACATTCGATTGGTTGTCGATCTTACATTATTATGTTTTTCTAATGAATTTCATGTACTTTAAGGGAGAGAAAACAAATCTTAACACAGCCTTACTTGTCTACGCATAATCTGGACAATGGACAACATGGAAAAGATGCCCTCGATGCATGGATGCGGGTAAGCGTCCTTTACCGTCACGCTATTTAGTTTTCTGGCGTTTAAACAAAATCTGTTCGTCCCGGCCCTCATTACCACCGTCGTCCGGTTGCTCCAGGAGCTGTAATCTAGTCGATGATGCCTCCTCCTCCTCCTGTTTGGCCGGTGACAACGGATAATGCCTGCCCTTCATAGGTTGGGCTTTGTAGCATGAGCAACGTATATTTAAGACATACCCAACCAATGTAAGGGTATATCAGATCAAATAAACAATAACCCACTTAGCGAAACTTTGTTGCTAAACATAACGCAACCCAAATTACATTCCACTCATAAGTGGCGTGACCATAGCGCAGAATATGCAACGTCTGCATATTCTGCCAAATACCATTCCTTTGACTTGCGATATATGTATATATGCTCAATGTATATGCTTTAAGTGTATGCATATATACATGCTCCCGCTCTGCCGCTGTACTCAGCGACGGAGACTTATATACAAAAACTCTAATGTTAGACTTAAGAACAAATATATGAACGACACATCAGTCCACAAAATATCACCAACGTCTTAAGACAATTGGTAATAAGCCATTTACAATAGCAAACGCTTCATCTTTTTACAGCTTCCTCGATCAGCTTTATTCGATGCGGTAACTGGTGAGTTTTCCCTTGGCCATCCTTTTCAAATTGGGGGAATCTGCTTTTCACGCCTTCGAACCGAATCCTCTGGTCGTTGTTCAGGTCGCACATTTCCGGATAATAAGCCATCATAATGTTCTTCCTCAGATGGCTCTGGAGGCACTTCGGACTTTATGGCCGCGTCGAGCTACTCTGGGGCCATCTTGAAGGCTCGCTAGAAGTCGATTCCCAGGTATAGTTGCTGTCGCAGATCCGGTCAATTGTAAAATTCTACCACTTCTTTTTTTCTCCCGTATTTCACAGGCAGAACAACTCAGCCCAAAATTGGGCGATTGGCACCTGCCGCTATTCCTACCATCGATGCGTATGGCTGCGTTTCCCATTCCAATTCCTCCACTAACTCCCGGCATCCTCATCCTGCTGGGATGACTCAGGCTCCCGTGTGCAACAACCCTTTCATTTTTATCCCAGCGAACTCCACATCGGCGAATACGCGTGGGTCAATGCCTTGCTCTCGTCTCACCGCTCCAATGACTTGGCGCCTTGTCATCTTGCGTCTGCGGAAGCGCGCACGTGCCTTTACCACTCTTTGGGTGGCCAGCGTCATTCCTATGGTAAGCCCCATAATGTTCTTCATTTATTCGCATCCTGTGAGATGGCTACCCAGAATGGCCACCCAACAATCCTGTTTCGCGACAAGGAGCCGCTAGATATATAATATCATTGTTTTGTTAGTTTAAGGTAGCATAAGTATTAGTAGTAAGAAAGGCAAAGAGCCGCTTGATCCATAATTTCATTGTTTTGTTAGTTTTAAGTAATAGTAAAGAAGGCAAGGAGTCGTTCCTAATATCAGCATTATTAATCATTTATTGGAATAAGAGAGAAGCTACGAAGGGCAAGGAGCCATTGAATTTTAATTTAACCGCCGGCCGCCACAGCAACCGTGCGTTGCTGATCGGTTGCTCAAAACTGTCTTCGAGAGCGTAACTTCTATTCGGCGGCAAAGAGCGAAAGCTTTGAGGCGAAGTTGCGAAAGTTCGTGGCGAAGTTGAGCGGCCGAGGCAAGCGCACGGCTCGCTAGCGAGCGTGCCGGCACTTTTGCGACGACTATCAGAGTAAGTAGACGTGTGACGGAGAGAGAAGTGAACATAACCCTAAGTGGGCAGCGGAGCGCTAGGGCTCCAGGCAGTGCAGGTTTTCTCGTAGTGAAACAGAGTAGGGTAGTGCTTAACAATTATAAAGAAGGTTATGTGAATAAAAGATACTTATAAAGAATTTCTGCTTACCCTTATCATCTTTTAGTAACACTAATCTCAGGTGTCGGGACTAGCCGGTACTCAACAAACCCTTCCCTACCTTACTTAAAACCTAGTAGATCGAGAGACGAGGCTTCATTACGTCGCTCGACATAACCCCTTTCCTAACCTAAAGCGTAGTAGATCGAGAGACGACTTCATTACGTCGCTCATAATAACAACCCCTTTCCCAACCTAAAGTGTACGGTATCGAGAGAGGCGATGCTTTGTTACGTCGCTCATGGTATTCATCCCAGCAGAAGTTTGTGTGTGGATTGAGACGGACTCCGGCAGAGAACGCTGGGTTATCGAACGCTGAAGGTCAGCTCGGTCGGTAGCCGGGAAGATGTCCAACCTCGCACGAAGGCCTCCTCCAGATCTCTAGGTGGGGTTTCCGCACAATGTGGTGGTATTACTCCTTGCAAGTAACGTGACCGCTGCATGTACCCAGTCCGGCTTCTGCGACCAACGTGCCTATCTTCTTCTATGTACTCTTGCTAGACTCGCGGTATCTCAGCGGCTCCTGGAACCGCTCGCCGAGCTGACGCATGTGGTGGATGTAGTTATCCACCTTTTCGCTGGTCTGTTGCTCTCGTTGTTGTAGCTACGGCATGACATCACGCTCCGTCTGATAGCCCCGGAACCTATCAAAGAGAGCGTGCCGAAATTACATTCAGCTGTCGACCCCAGAATGCCAATACTACTCGCTGGCACGGCCGGTCAGGACCAGATGAAAACCGCGCAGGACCTCCTTCCACGGGCATTGATTAGCTTCTGCAGGAACACTAGTTGGAACACGAAGTCGTCGACAGAATTCATTGTGTCCTCGCCGTCGAGCTTGACATTCCACCGCTTGAGCTTCTGGTACGCTGTTTCTCGTACGTTGGCATACGCTTTCTCCGGCTGAAAGTCATCGGCTCTCCGGTCCTCTACTCGGAAGTGGCCATTATTC